CTACCGGCAGGATGATTGTCCTGTATATCCTGATTTTTAATCGCCTAGACAGCAACCGCGAGCTGAGTAATTTGTTAATCGAATAAAAACATGAATTGCCTAGATTGATTCTTTTCTTAACACGTTCACATCGGCGCGTACCACCGGTGGCCCGCGCTTGGTCCAGGTTTGAACAAGCAAAAATCACGCGCCGCCAGATGAAGCGCATCTTAAATTCTTCGTTAATTTCGTTCGTTTGGTTTATGATCGATCGTAAATACCTAAAGTTGCTGATCCGCTCAAAAGTTTTATCCCGGACGACTAAAGTTCCAGTACTAGGCCTATTCTGAGCTCTATCGGTTACCATATATTTGGTTTCATATAAACATACGTGATTGAAATATTGATTATATTACTTATTCGTTCTCTCTTCCCTTATAGAAAATATTTAACGATAGACCATCGCGTAAAATCCGATATTCGTTTTTTCTTGCAATAATATCGAATGGTAAAAACAATCCCATATTTATTGGTAATAATCTGGATGAGAATATATCGGGATATAAATTGGGTCGCGGTTATAGAATTATTGAAATAATTCAAAATTCTCATTGTATCAATGTGAATCCGTGTCCTGATTGATAACAATCTGTACACCTACGTGTTTAATTGTATTAAAGTAAAAAAAGAAAAAAGAAAAACAAAAAGAACAAGGTAAAATATTATGAAAATGATCAGGGAATTGAGTTTCGCATCAACGACAAGTCAAAGTTGCGATCGTTCATGAAGGTTATAATGATGCACGAATCGATTCTCTCAACTAGCGAAATAATTTGATAAAGGTGTATGAAGGGTATCCTTTTGCGTGTCGTCCTTTTACGTACCTATGTATATATATGTACGTAGGTATACGTATTTATATAAATATGGCGTTTGGTATGTAGTTGTGGTTTGATGTACTCGATGAACTCGATGAACGTTAGTAGATAGAAAAGATACACGTTGCTCTCGCGTGGAACGTGCTAATTAAGAACTTTGTTGTAGAAGGAAAATTGTGCAACGCATTTCTTGGATGGGTTAAAGGAGGATAGTGTTAGATAACATACATATTTCGCGGCATGGAAAAGATCGCTTTGTAGTTAGCCGCTAATTATGGTACGAGCTACCTTATATACCAGTGAACACACCAAC